TGAATTGAATTATGTTTAAATTATTTTAAATTATTTTTAAAAAAATATTAATTTAAAATGAAAATACTAAACGTTACGTTAAAGAATAGAAAAATAACATGATAAATTAAACGAAAAATAAACGTGAATTCTAATCGATACAGGAAGAAAATAAAAGTAATAAAAGAAAGTGTAGGAGGAAAGTAACTTTCGTTGAATGATGAAATAATGTGAAAAAAAAGAACTTTGGTGCACTTGCACTTCACAATGAATGAAATTCTTATCGACTTTCCCGCGATATATATATACCTGCTTCTATTAAACATATCACTTATCTATTTCATGTGAAAATATCATCCACACACATAGATATATATAAATGCCAATAACAAGAATGATGAGCAAGCGGCTCGTGTCAGCCAAGACTAAAATAATCATTTGTCGGAAATAAAGCATGAGTTGGTGCTTTAACTTTAAATATATATAAATATATACTTGAATTTATTTTTGTCTATATGTATATGTGTATTAAAAAGAATATAACTATATACATACTTCTTTATCCATAAAGAGGTGAAATCACCTTTTTTTTAAACGTTTATTTTCCACGAAAAATTACATCTTTCTTATCTTGATATTGTTGTATTTCAATACTACTTCCGGTATAAACTATTCTTAAAAATATATTATAGATTTCAAATCGTTCGCCGGAGTTTTTTAAAAGATTTCAAATCTTTAGCTTTATGGATACGCGCAGATAAATAGTATAATGTGTCAGTAGTCTAATGTATTTTTGCTAAAAAAAAAAAATATTTTTTGCTATTCGCTGTGTAAAAATATCTTTTCTTTAGTAGAAAATGCAATTTATAGTAAAAATATTTTGTTTCGGATTTAATCAAAATGAGACAAAAAAGAATATCATAATAATTGTTGTGATGCAAAAATTAATAATAGATTAATACTAAAAAAAATTAATAATAACTAACAATTGATTTTTTGTCCCATTCGCTTTTTAATCCTCAATACTATGTTTGAAAAGCTCATCGAAATTTTTTATGCAAAGCAACTCAAAAAAAAAAATTAAACTAAATACTCTACTCTCTAAATTTGAATTAGTATAATTTTTTATTAATTTGAATCAGTGGCAGACTATTTGCTTTTAAATTAGTAAATTTTGCTAATAAATTAGTAAAAATTACTATTATTTAATAAATTTTACTAATTCATATTAGTAAACATTTTTACTAATTTAAATTTAGAGAGTAAATTTAAATGAGTAAAACTGTCTACTAATTTGAATTAGTGAATGACGTTTTGGTTCGGAATTCAACAATTTTACTAATAGTAATTTCTCTTAATTTATTAATACTAATTTCTTCTAACTTATTAGTAAAATTTACTAATTCAAAAGTAAAGAATTTAAAATTTCACTAATAAATAGTAATTTCTATTAATTTATTAGTAAATTAATCTAATAACTAGTCATTTCTAATAATTTATTAGTAAATTAAAAAAAAAATAATTTCTACTAATTTTTTGGTAAATTTTACTAACAAATAGTCATTTCTACTAATTATTTAGTGAAATTTACTAATTCAAATGTTAAGAATTCAAAAATTTACTAGTGAGTAGTAATTACTAATAAATAGTCATTTCTAATAATTTATTAGTAAATATTACTAATAGTAATTTATGATAATTTATTAGTAAATTCTACTAATAAATAGTCATTTTTACTAATTTATTAGTGAAATTTTACCAATAATAATTTCTACTAATTTATTGGTAAATTTTACTAATAAATAGTAATTTCTACTAATTTATTAGTGAAATTGAATAATTCAAAAGTAAAAAAATTCAAAAATTTACTAATAAATAGTAATTTATATTAATTTATTAGTAAATTATATTAATAAATAGTCATTTCCAATAATTTATTAGTAAATTTTACTAATAGTAATTTCTACTAATTTATTGGTAAATTTTACTAATGAATAGTCATTTTTACTAATTTAATAGTGAAATTTTACTAATAAATAGTAATTTCTACAAATTTGTTGTTAAATTTTACTAATAAATAGTCATTTTTACTAATGTATTAGTTAATTTTACTATTAAATAGTCATTTCTACTAATTTATTAGTCAATTTTATTAATTGTAATTTCTACTGATTTATTGTTAAATTTTACTAATAATTAGTAGCTTCTAATAATTTAGTACTAAAATTTACTAATTCAAAAGCAAAAATTCACAAGTCAGGCTCTCTAAATTTAAATTAGTAAAAAATTCACTAATTTTAATTAGTGATTGACTTTTTGCTTTTGAATTAGTAAATTTTACTAATAAATAGTAATTTCTACTAATTTAAAAATGTACTAATTTATAGTAAAACTGACTGTTTGCGTTTGAATTAGTAAATTTCACTAATAAATTAGTAGAAATGACTATTTATTAATGTGAATTAATATAATAATTAATAATAATATTTTGTTTGTATAGTAATATATTATGTATTGTTTTATTAATTACACTGAAAAAATGTATTTTATTTAAATAACCGATTACTCTGTCTATTATCAAATAAATATTTACTTGAATCAAATAATTTTTATTTAATTCAATTAAATTGTATATTTGAACCAATAATTTCAGTATATTTGAAGCAAATACCATTTAGTTGATTTAAATAAAAATTATTTGATTCAAGTAAATATTTATTTGATAATAAACAAGTGATTAGTTATTTGAATCAAATTAATTTCTTTTCAGTGTAAATAATTAATTAATCAATTAAAACATGAAAATCAATAATTATTATTATTTTTAATAATAATTATTATTATTATTAATAATTATAAATATAATTATAATAGATATTAATAATTCCGTGTAAAAAAGAAAGAGAAGAATAGTTATAAGAAAACAATTCGTAGAAATTTTCTACACATAAGTGAAGACTTGTATTGTAGCAGTCCGAAACTCTTTAGTAATGACTAATGAAAGAACTGATTGTGAAATTAAATAGAAAAGAAAAAGAAAAAAGCATTCCTCTTCTATAATATGAAAGTCTTTTATCATTTTTAACCAACCCATGTGTGTGTGTGTGTGTGTGTGTGTCTTTTTCTTTTTTTTTTTTTAATACAAATATAGAGAATGTAAATAAACAATAATATATTATTCATAAAATTTGATTATCATAAAAATTTATTGTAATTTGAAAATATTTTATTTCTATTTACATTTATTGGCAAAATAATAAAAAAATTTTAAAAAATTGTGTTTGCGTGAGTGCATAAGTATGCAAGCACGTGAGATAAAGAAGCACGTGTATATCATATAGTACATAATATTTTTTGTGTGAAGCGTAGAAATGAGTTTAGAAAATGCATGAGAAATAGGCCACACGTGTTTTAATAGTTTGACAACATTTATCACCCCAGGTTTACCCAATACTATACAATTTCTATTAGTTTGATTACTACACACGCGGATGGATATATATACCACATATTTAAATTTACATAACAGCAATAATATTACAAAATAATAATTATAAGAAAACAAATTTATTTCTTATATTTACAAGTTTAATTTTTGCACGCATGCATTTTTTTAATTATTGATGTTTTATTTATTTATATTTTAACAATTTTACGTTTTTATATACAACAAAATTATAGTTTTTTTATTTTTTCTACTTTAATTTATTTAGAACATTTAAAAATAAATTAATATTTTAAATTATAATTTATTATATTAATTGATAATAATAATTAATTTAAATATAATTAACTAGCAATAAATACCATAAATTTAATTAGAAAAAAAATTTCTTATTATTTTTCATTCTTTCGTACGAGGAGAAAAAATTTTACGAGTATAATAGTTAATAACTAATTATTTATAACTAATAGTTAACTAATTATTTATAACTAATAGATAATTAAAAATATAGTGAATTAATCCAAAATATGATTAATTAATAAAATAGTTAAGTAATAAGATAGTTAACTAACAATATTGTGAATTAAAAATATAATTAACAATATAATAAATTTTCAAAATATATTATTAATTAATAATAAAATAGTTAAGTAATAAGATAGTTAACTATAACAATATAGTGAATTAACAAAATAATTAACAAAACAGTAAATTTTAAAAAAAAAATTAATTATAATAAAACAAAAGTTAATTAATAACATAATTAACGATCAATATAGTGAATTAAGAATATAGTTAATTAACAATGTATAGTTAACTGCGAATATAGTTAATTAGCATCAATAAAATAATTAAATAATCTACAAATTTTTTTTTGAAAGATTTAGAGATTGAAATTTGAGTACCTATATATACGTGTAATGATATGAAATTCTATAATTTAATTAACAGTTCTTGTGTCGAGAGAATTTCGAGAATAATTTGCCTATGAGAATAATGAGAATAACGAATGATGAATAATAAAACCAGCTTTGAATAAACTCTTTGTACTATTTTGGCAACCGGAAGCTTTAGTGCGAAATTGGGTATTTTGAAACTACTAATCAAAAATTATATTTCAAAAAACGTGTTCTTTTAATCACTTTTAATGATAAGAATTAAATAGATATAAATTTGTATAAAGATTCTTTCAAAATTAAAAAAAAATTCTTCTTTTTTATTTATAGAGAATATTTAATTATATAAAATATTTAATTATTTTATGTATATAGATTTAGATTAATTTTTTTCTATATTTAAATATATTTAAATATTTATCTTACCTATTTAATAATTAATAATTTATAAATAATTAATTTTTTATTTATTAATAATTTTTTTTTTTTAATAATAACCCATAAAAATAAGGAATTTGTGTAAAAATAATGTAAATGAAAAAATTATCTATTAAACAATATTGTTAAATAATATTAAATGTATACAATTTGTTATCATTACAATTTTAATTTTTTCTGCATTTGTATTTTTTTGAATTGTATTTTTTAGTGTTAATTTAATAAATAATTTTTTTACTCACCAAATTGGATCAAAATTTTTCTTTTTTCGTGTTGAGAAAAATTCTAAAATAATTTTTCTTCTACAAATCTCGTTCTTTTGTATTATTATTAATACGAACAAATTAATTGCAGTAGAATTCGACTAAATATTCTATATATATATAATTTTATTGTCACTTCCTAATCTATATTTTAAATAATTTTTTATTTAAAATACTACTTAAATGCAATACGTTACTCTCGAATCTAATAAACAAATAAAAAAATATTATCAAATATTTGAATAATAATTTTTTTGAATTTTTTATTTCAAAATAAAATTTTTTTTTATTTAATTCAACAAAAATTTAGATCACTCGCTAATTATTTCATTTCATTTGTCTCATGTTTTTCAATAAAAAAAAAACCAATTTTTTTCTTATGAAAAAAATTATATTGAAAATTGACAAGAGAAAACGCGGATAAAAACGATGCACACCGAATGAAAGCTTTGATTCAACTTAAAGTGCGCGCAAGATAATCTTTGTGTTTCGAATAGAGTGTGCTGGCTCCCCAGTGCTCTCCTAAACTGAGAAATCAGCGACATCTAGCACGTGTCATTTAATTTCAGAACTATTTTCAACGATTAATAAGAGATCTCAAACTATTTTTCAAAGGTTGTGGGAATAGATTGTATAAAAAGACAATATGTAAAAAATTAAACTTTTTAATTATAAATGCACATAATTAATTTTATATAATTACTGCAAATGAGTAATTTAATTAAAAAATTTTAGAATTAATAAAATTACAAATAATTAAATTAATTATTACTATAATTCTTAATTATCATTTTTTTATAATAATTTAATTATTTATTTATAATAATAACAATAATATAAAACTTAATTATAAAAATATAATTAATAATTATTGTTATTATATTATTATTATTATTATTATACGGTATTATTATAATTAGTATTATTGTAATAATTGTACTCTTTTTAAGTGATTTTTCTAAAATTATTATTATTATTTTATTAATTTTATTTTTTGTTTCAAATTATTCTCATACCAATAATACATAATATATTTATTAATTATAATGTTTAATTATTCCTAATTTAATAATAATTATTTATAAATAACACCCAAAATTAATTTTATTCAATTACAAAATTGCTAAATTTTATTTACAATGAAATTAATAATAATAATAAAAATACTAATAATAAATAAAAAATAATAATAACAATAATACCTATTAATAACAAAAGTTAATTTTATGTAATCGCAAAATTACTAAATGTTAATAATAAATTAACTATAATAATAATTAATAAATAAATAATAAAATAACAAAATTATACTGAATATTCTTTCTAAGGGAATTTATTTTTGAAACAGTAAAATATTGTATGAAAAAATTTAACTAGAAACAAAAAAAATTTAATTTTTTTATAAAAAAAAAATTTTTATTCCAGAAAAAATCTAATATAAAATTAGCAAAATATAGCACCAATTTTACGTGAGAGTGCACTTTATTGATACTTTGAAAGTGTAAATTTGTACGTCCATAAATAGACTTCTTCTTAAACTAAAAATACAAAAGTTTTCTGCAAACTGAAATTCACTATACTGAAATGGATCGATTTTTTGAATGCTGTTATATGATAATAAAGGGAAGATAAGATCAAAAACGTTCAATTTGCATTCTTAGAAAAGTACTCGACCTGATAAATTAAATAATATTTTTTTAAATGAAAACTAAATCGACCCTATTTAAAAAAAATTAACAAAAAAAATTTTTTTTGTAAAAAATTCCTTTTTTGGTCTCAAAAAGAAAATATTTATTTTTTAGATGCAAATACATAAGTAAATCTGTCTTAACAGCAGAGGATAATTTTATAATAAAAAAATTTTGTTTAACACCATAGTTTTACAATTTATAATATTTCTATTTCCTTTAGCTCAAATCTTGATCATACAGTTTTTTCAACATATTTCGAACAAAATTTTCCCCTGTTTTTTATAAACAAATTAAAAAACTATAATTTTGCAAAAATCATTGAGGCGGGAACTTTTTAAATATTGGTAAATATTTAACTTACGTAAGTTGGCGTATATTATACGTATAGTCTTGTGTACTTGCGGCGGGGGTGCTACCCTCTGTACCAAAAACATAAGTTCGAATGCTCATTATGCCGAATTTACAATTTAGAAATGATCAGATACGCGAATCCTCAATAACCTAAATTGTATATTGAATGAAATTCAAAAGTAGGGAATAATCATTTGATATATTCTGCATATGGAGAATATTATTTTAAACTAATTCTTTTTTTCCACAATTTGAAATTATTGCAATTTTTATTTTTGGAATTTCCACTTTACCTACATTTTAATAGATCGAAACGTAAAATATCAGAATTGACATTTAATTGAAATATGATGGAGAATAAATATATATTCACTGAATAAAAAGATTAAATAATTATTAAATGTTTGAATTTAATAAAAACATATTGTTCAAAAGTTACAGTGCGAATTGTACAGAATATATATTAATAAGAAATATAATTTGGCAGAATGTCGATTCGATCGATTTTATATTTGCAAGAAATTCAATTTGACAGAATATCAATTTATAAGAAACACGTTTTCGTAGAACTTTAACTTGTCAGAATTGTAATTTTGTAGAATATTAATATTGGCAAATCTAATTTTGGTAGAAATCTGCTTTATCAGAATGATCACATGTTCGAATCCTCAAAAGTTAGAATTCCATTTTTACCGAAAATGGATTCCACATAAATATTTGGCGCAAATTTTAAAATTCTGATTTCTGATTGGTCGATTTTAAAATTTGCGCCAAATATTTATGTGGAATCCATTTTCGGTAAAAATGGAATTCTAACTTTTGAGGATTCGAACATGTGATCATTCTGATAAAGCAGATTTCTACCAAAATTAGATTTGCCAATATTAATATTCTACAAAATTACAATTCTGACAAGTTAAAGTTCTACGAAAACGTGTTTCTTATAAATTGATATTCTGTCAAATTGAATTTCTTGCAAATATAAAATCGATCGAATCGACATTCTGCCAAATTATATTTCTTATTAATATATATTCTGTACAATTCGCACTGTAACTTTTGAACAATATGTTTTTATTAAATTCAAACATTTAATAATTATTTAATCTTTTTATTCAGTGAATATATATTTATTCTCCATCATATTTCAATTAAATGTCAATTCTGATATTTTACGTTTCGATCTATTAAAATGTAGGTAAAGTGGAAATTCCAAAAATAAAAATTGCAATAATTTCAAATTGTGGAAAAAAAGAATTAGTTTAAAATAATATTCTCCATATGCAGAATATATCAAATGATTATTCCCTACTTTTGAATTTCATTCAATATACAATTTAGGTTATTGAGGATTCGCGTATCTGGTCATTTCTAAATTGTAAATTCGGCATAATGAGCATTCGAACTTATGTTTTTGGTACAGAGGGTAGCACCCCCTTGCGGCGAACTTCAGATTATTCGTGACTTTTTCAAAATGGAGGAAGGTGACAATAAAACAGAAGTACAATCAAGTGAAACAAAAAAATCATATGCCGGTATTCCCGAAGCCGAATTTGTGGTAAATATTCTTTCTAAAGAAACACTATTATTTATACTTTCTTACTGAAATTCTTTTCTATAAAAATTTGTCTCTATTTTAGTGTCAATAACTCATAAAGTGTATCATATAACCTCAAAATTTAGTTTACCTATTTATTTTTAAACTCCAATTTTTATAAATTAGAACCAAACATCTTGTATCAAAAATAGTTAATTTCGATGATTTCAAATTTCTTTTTATCAATTTTATTTATACAACTTTTATAATTGTCTAGTAGATCCTTATATGGTAATGAAAGGAGGTCTCTATCGCGTTGCGTGTCTCGAAAACATTGAGAGAAAAAAATTCCACTTAGACAACTATAAGTGAATCGAGAAAAGTCAGAAATTTTTATTAAAAGTACTGGAAAAAATTTAATTTTACAGAAGTTGCAAATTCTTGGCAAATATTCAATTATTTACAAAAATTTTCCTCAATTCAATGATTTTTAATATTTACTACTTATAAAAATTTTTTAAAAGAATTCAATTATTTAAAAAAAATTTTGATAAAATTCTAAGCAAACATTAAATTATTTTTATAAATAATAAAAATTTCATACCAATTTTATTACATTTCTTTTATATAATTGAAATCCTGTGAAGAATTTTAATAATTTTGAATATAATTGAATTCTTGCAACGAATTTTGAATACATTTTTTTAAATAATTGAATTCCTATGAAGAATTTTATTATTTAGAAAAATAATTGAATTCTTGCAACGAATTTTTATTAAATTGTTTTAAATAATTGAAATCCTGTGAAGAATTTTATTATTCAGGAAAATAATTGAATTCTTGCTACGAATTTTTAATAAATTTTTTGTTAATAATTGAAATCCTGTGAAAAATTTTATTATTTATGAAAATAATTGAATTCTTTTAAAAAATTTGATTAAAATAGCAGATTCAAAAATAAAAAAATTTGTCTGAAAATCAGGGAAAACCTAAATTTATTTTTTGTGGCAACCTTGTAATATATTAGCCCCAGAAACAAAGAATAGAAAGAATTTCATTAACGAATTTTTTCCAAAAAGACTAAAAAAAAAAATTCTGAAATTTTACAGGAAGATGTCGATGAATTTATGGCAAAAGCGGAAAACGATGGAGCTGCGGAGAAAGTGTTGAAAAGATTAGACGAAAATCATAGTAAATACAAATTTATGGAATACAATTTAATAAGTAAACGAAGAAGATTAAAAGTTCAAATTCCCGATTTGGAGCAATCACTTGAAATGATTGAGAAATTACAAACCGAAAAGAATAACAGTAAAAATTTGGAGACACAATTTTTATTATCAGATCAGGTTTTTGCAAAAGCTATTATTCCGCCCACGGATAAAGTGTGCTTGTGGCTTGGTGCTAATGTTATGTTAGAATATTCTCTCGATGATGCACAAGAACTTTTAACGAAAAACATGGAGACAGCGAAGAAAAATTTGGGATTTGTCGAGCATGATTTAGATTTTATCAGGGACCAATTTACAACCACGGAAGTTAACATGGCTCGTGTATATAATTGGGACATTAAACGCAAACAAGCTGCAAAATCATTAAGTCATATAGATGAAGAAGAAGAGGAACTTGCTAAATCATCATGAAATTCTTTTAATTAAAAATCGGATATTTAATGAATTTTTGCTTTATACTATTAATTTCTTTTTTCTAATACTCATGAACCAGTTTTTTTTTTAAGGAAAAAACTGCAACTGCAAAAAAACTATTTTACAACACAAATTAAATAAAAAAAAAACAGTTGCAAATGAGAAAGAGATGAAGTTAAAAATTGTCATTTACACAATATTTAGATTTAAAATATACGTATGAAAATATAATTGAAAATTCGCTTCTCACATCACATTTGCGTCACAATTTTCTTAATTAAATCTGTATAATTAAATGTAATAAAACTAGCTCGTAATTTATAATCTGATTATGGAATTATTTAGTAAAACTAAATTCAATCTAATGAGATCTTTCTTTATTTTCGAATCTTATGCATTTTGTCAATGTACAAAGAATTTTCTTATTCTTACAATCTATTATTGTTACTTTTTCACATAAAGAAACAATTTTATTTTTTAACAATACCTAATATCTCACGGTAAGTCGAGTTCATTTATACAAGTTTCATTATGCCCTTTGACATAGTCACCTAACCAATAAGGAATGTAATTTAAATGCTTGATAACTTTATACATTATACTCGATTAGTATTTTTATTTTTAAACCTAGATTGCAAAATTGAAACTCAAATTGATCATGTTTGTTAAAATTAAATTCAAGAAAAAATTAAATTTACAAAAGTAGAGGCAAAAATGTAAAAAGAAAAATAATTACAACTTCGCTAAAGTATTTTTCAACTTCTTTCGAAATTTTTTTTAGTAAAACTTTTAGAAAAGAGAATCTTTTATACAAAATTTTATTGCAGAAAGAAAAATCGAAAAATTGACTTTTGATGAAAGTCGGATAAAGAAAAAATATATTTTTTTTACACTCGAGTCTGTAATTTAAATAATTTCTTTAAATACTGGTCCATTTAGTAAATCTATTGTTTTACAAGTAATCGTGATACTTGTTAACTATCAAAAGTTGTGTATTATACATTTTAATGTTCGTATTTGATACTTAACACTAGATCAATTTGAAGGCACAGTCATGACGTATCTCTAATTTTTTTTTTTTTTTTTTGTTTAACTTAATGACGAGTTTAGGACTAGTACAAAAAAATTCTAAATATTAGAAAAAAGTTATTCCTGTCCCGGTTCTGATTCAAATTTTACCAATTTTGTTGTTAATTCCGTTACTTTTGCATTGGCTTCGTCCAATTCTTTTTTGAGGTTTTCCACTTCCGAGGTAGATTCTGTTATGCCGCCCAAATGTTTTCGTACATATCTATTTCAATGTTAAGGAATTTATATTATGTAGGAAATTCAGGCTTCGCACTCAAAAATTAATTTTAAAAAAGTAGCATAGAATTTTACTAAAATTTATGGAAATAATTGAATTGTTTTGAAGAATTTTATTAAAAACATTTGAAAATAATTTAATTTTTCGAGAAATTTTATTAAAAATAATTGCATATTATAAGGAATATTATTAGTGTTTGAAAATAATAGTATCCAAATAGTAGATAATCGTTAAAAAAAAGTAGTAATTAGTAGGTTTTAGACGAGTGCGAAGCCTGGAAACTATTTAAGAAACGAAAAAAACAAATAAAAGAAATATTGCGTAAAAAAAACCATTTGTACTATCATTTTAAAAAGGATACTCTAAGGCGTCTTCGGGTTTATCAGTTTCCTCATATAAGGAAACGAGAACTTTTGTCAGAGCATCCATCACACCTGCATGTTCCAGGTATTTGCGAAATTCTTCTCGTTTTGCGTCAATTGGCTAAAAATAGACAAAAAGATTAGTTTGTAATGAACGCAATAACAAAAGAAACTGTCAAAATTTGACATTTTTCGATAATTAGAAAAGTAATTAGATATCTGAAATCTAAAAGAAACTACTCGTAAATAAATTGTTTTTTTCTTATCGGAAATAAAATGTTATTTCAAAAGAATACATTTAGAGGTTAGGTTTCACAATCAATCGAGCATATCCACAAATTATTGACATAAATCTCACCTTATAGTTGGACATTTTGATATTTGATGATATTTCAATTTTACACACGAGTCTTTATTCCAGTTGTTGATAATTATTGGGATTTAATAAGAAAAGATTCAGTTTGAATGTGTCACACACAAACGTGAAGCTAACAAACCGGAAATGACTGAAACTTGCCTGAAAGTTTCTCTCTTTCTCTCGCACTTGCGGTAAATTTCACTCTAAACACACGCGCTTTGAGTTTTTGACGTTTGTCGGTACCTAACCTCACTTTCGAACAGAAACACACGATTGTTTTGCGGCAAAGTCGTCATTGTTAATTGATATAAATGTAAATATCTAAAAATTGAAATGTTTTCTGTTCATCAGAGGATTTTTGTACAAGTACTATTTACAATTTCAATAGGAATTGTATCGTTCATTGGTGATAGATTATTACAACAAAAAAGTGAAATTATACGTGCAGTTTCTGATAATTTGACTCATGCAACTGTCGGCGGACTCACATGGTCATTAATATTAATATTATCCAAAAAGGCAATTTTGAAGAATATTTCGAAAATATTTCTGTGTTTTTTCATTGCGTCATTTGTTGACGTTGATCATTTTTTGATTGCAAATAGTTGGAGGTTACACGTGAGTAAACACGCCTTTGTTTACATCTTTTTTCTCTGCTTCGCTCTTTGCTGTTTAATTGTTAATTCCGTTAATTCATAATAATTGAACATTTATAATAATTAAATTCAATAAAATTATACTTCTGTACAATTTATCACCACTGATATTAATTTATTAGGTTTTTAGTGAGCGTAAATAAGCAATGAGTGAAATTAGTATATGTAATTAACGAATGTATCTGTACTGCAATTAGTTTTCTTTTTCAGGATGCCACGCATTTACAGAAACGAGGATTTCTTCATTGTTCAACGTTACCAATTATGACGTGGCTTTTTCTTCTAATTTATTCAAAAATGCTGAATCAACCAAACATTAGTGATTATGCGTGGATAATTTTAACCAGTTTTCTCAGTCATCACATAAGGGATGCCAATAGAAGAGGACTATGGTTTTGTCCCTTTGGATCGACGCGTCCAATTCCTTACCATTTTTACTTAATATTAAGTATGATATTTCCTTATTTGGAATATTTTTCCATGTCATTATTGGACATGGGAATCGAAAAAGGACTTTACAACGCTCCTTATGTCGTTTAAAGAGAAATTTTCTTTAATCACACTTTTTTGTATATAAAATGGGTAATTTTTGGAAAATTTTCTGAAAACTTTATTTTATGGAAAAGAAACAATTTTTGTAGTTCAAATTTAAGTGGAGACTTCGACTAAATTTTTAACTATATCGAGAAAATTATTTCAATCTCCGTAAAACTGTTTTTATAATAATTTTTTGAGAGGAAATCAATAGTCAGAATATATTCTGACCCTTTTTGGATTTTTATTTTTCTTAAAAATTGATAGATTCTGAAATCCATCCGTAATTTTGTAGAAAATATGTTTTTGTATCGACAAAAAAATTGCCGAATGAACAATTTGATTAAAAAAATTTTTAAAGCATTTTTTTTGAAAAAAAACTGATTTTAAATTGAAAATGTTAAAAAATACTATTGTTATTTAATTTTTAAAAATTGAAATTGACTTATCTATTTTTTTAACGACTTTCAAATCATCATTTTTTAAAATATAAAATAAAAAAATAATGATTTAAGATCAGTTAGAAAAATAAACAAGTGAATTTCCATATTAAAAAATTGAATAACAATAGTATTTTTTCACATTTATTTTTTTACATTTTCAACTTAAAAGCAATGTTTTTTTCAAAAAAAATGCTTCAAAAGTTTTAAAAATCAATTTTTTCTATCAGCAATTTTTTTGTATATATACAAAACATATTTTCTACAAAATTACGAATGGATTTTAAAATCTATCAATTTTTGAGAAAAATAAAAATCTAAAAAGTGTCAGACTATTTTCTGATCATTGATTTCCTTTCAAAAAATTACTATAAAAATAATTTTATGAAAGATTTAAATAATTTTCTTAATATTGTTAAAAATTTATAGTCAAAGTCTCGCCTTAAAGAATTTTAACTTTAAAGTAAACAAGGATTTTTATGAGAAAATATTAAATTTTGTAAAAGTATTTTATTTTGTAAAAGTATATTTGAGAAGAAAGTACGACAAGGCGAAATTTTTATATAAAAAATACTAAAGTTTAGAAAAATTTATGTGAAATTTAGTACATTTTTATTAAATATCAAAAATATTAATTCTATTAATATTGATTAATTTTAATTATTAATTAATTATCAATTTTAATATAACTTTACTATAATTTCTTTCAAATTTTATTTTTTATATAAAAATTTCGCTTTGTCCAATTTTCACATTTTTCCAAATTATTAAATACTTTTACAAACTTTAAATTTATTTTCCTTTCATGTACGACACAAAATTTTTGAGTGTTGGGTTAAAATTATTAATATGGGATAATTTTTTTTTCTTTCTTTCTTTTTTTGATAGATATGTAAACGATTATGAATGAATGTTATCTTGATGGAAGTGTTATATAATTATGCCTGTTTGTTCCGGTAGTTGTCTATTTTCGTGAAATAGGAAACACAGGTCATTTTTCTTAGAGAAAACATTGTTGTATCATCTACACGTTTATTTGTGTAGGTGTGCCTCTCACATTTTTATAACAGACAATATTTTATATACATATGCGCGCGTCAAGGATAAATCCTCAAACGTGGAAATTCCTTTCATATTTATATTACTTCATCTACAATGATCAATTTTAATTTATGACATGACAATTATTTAGATACACTTGAAATTATACTTTCTTTGTTATTTCAAGTACGCATATCAAAATTTTTATGTACTTGAAAAAATACGATTTTTAATTTCTTCGAAAACTGAGAAACAATTTTTAGTCGAATACTTTTAAATTTAAAATTCGTCTTTTGGTTCCTAAAATTTATTTATTTTATTTATTTTATAAATAAATATTTACTACACTGAAAAAAATTTATTTGATTCAAATAATCGATTACTTGACAATTATCAATTAAATATTACAAAATTTTTTTGATTCAAGTAAATATTTAATTGAATCGGTAAAGTAATCGGTTATTTGAATGAAATAATTTTTTTTCAGTGTAAAAAGAAATTTGTTATTGTTGGAAAAATTTATATTTTATTGTTTAAAGAACAAATATTATAAGAATATTAGCAGTTTTCTTTTGAAAACAATTTTTTTTTCTTTCGTAAATAACTGTGATATAAAGTGCCTTTTATTTTTTTTAAAAAAGTAAATACATTTTGTATTTATCATGTTTGTAAAAATTCTATTGTTATGATCAGACATGCAAAATAAGGAAACGAGAAATTATAAATGTATAACGGTAAAATAAATATTAAATTATATGTGAAATAATTCAGTTGATTTTTCTCGGTCGAAAAGACAAAAAAAAAATTTTTATATTCCTAAGAGTATATATAGTAAATATTTTTTTCAAACGTCATTCATTGAAAATGAAACTAGTAATTAACAAGTTGTGCATAAAAAGAATATATATAAACGATGTTTACATAAAATTTTGCGACTATATATAACTTTGTGAAACATCTGCTATATTATATGGTTAAAGTTTTTCATATGTTCATTTAGATGATATTAGAAAGATATTTGATTTAATATGAGAACTTATAGATTGGTATGTAATGCATTATAAAGACAAACACAATTTAAAAGTGCACACTTACACACATCTCCAAGGCTGTGGAGTTATCAGCATTCAACAATTGCTTAGCTGGCTGCCTCACACACATTTTATATACCTTGTCCACTTTAGTATTCTCTAAACCAGCCACCTGTACTGTGTATATTATCCTAAGTGCTCTTCAACTTGAAAGTGAGTTTTTTTTCTCTAAATTAGGTCGAAATAATGAATTTTATAATTATCTTGTTATTTTTTTATTATCTTGAGTTCGTAATTTTTTTTTTTTTTTAATTATAAACATTTTTTTTAAATCGAAAATTTTTAATTTAATCCAAAAAAAACATTTTTTTGTATTGACAAACAGAATTAAACTATTTTTTGGTATTGACAAACAGAATTAAACTTTTCTTTTGAATAAAATACATTTTTTGTATTAAAAAATTAAGTTAAACAATTTTTCAAAAAAATTAAAAAAATGTTCTTAAAAAAAGAAATGTTCTTAAAATTTCTTAAAAATTAAAAAAAAACAGTAGTTTTTTTTAATTAAAATAAAACAATTTGTGTAAAGTTTTTAATTTTCAGATTAATATCATTTATAATTGAAAATTATGTGCGAAGATTGGAATTTCTGAAGAAATTTAAGTTGTAAAACTTTTATCGCAGCAAAATATTCTAAATCACAGTTTTATCATGATAATTTCTGGATTAATCATTTGAAAAAATTTGAAATCAACGGTAATTGTGTTGATAAATATTCTCTGATATGGTGAGTTTTTTGTTCACTACTTTTCCTTATTTTATTTCCATTTTTTGTTATTAACAAATTTAAGATTTTTTAAAAATTTTATTTTTTGTAAAAAAACAGTTTTATTTATTATTTTCAGGTATTAATTATTATTTGTTATACTATTATTATTGTTTTGTTAGAATTACCTACTATTGTTATACTTACTGAATTAATTAATTAATGAAAATGTAATAATTAATTAATAAATTAAAAACTAATAATTAATTAATAAATTAAAAATTAATGATTAATTATTAAATTAATTGTTATTTATTAAATATTATTCTTAAATTATTATTGTTCCATCAAAAAGAGAAGTTAGTTTAATTGAATTAAAATATTAAATAAAACTGAAAATTTTTTCGGTTCTCTATTATAGAGATAAAATATTAATTAAAATTCTATTTTTGTTCCGTGACAATAACTGCAAACAGCAACAAATTAAACGTACCGATAATTTACAAGAATAATTATATATTTTTTCCTGTTTGATTAAAGTTTTGATAAAACGCATTAACATATTCGTTTCATTGTTTTTCTCAAAGAGAACAATAAATTGATGATTATTTATTCACTAAGGAGAGAATTTATTTTTTCTTAAGATTCATATTCGTTCTTAATTTTTATTAAATTATTTTACTTATAAATAAAATGTATAAATAAATAAGTAGATAATTAAATAAATAAGTAGCTAAATAAATAAACAAATATTCAGATATAAATAATTAAACAAAAATAATTTATTCAAACAAGTATTATACTATCAATTAATTTTATTACTATAATTATTAATTAATTAGTATTATTATTCTTTAAGAATAAAATTATTTTTAATGTTAAAATACAAAATAATAATAATTTACAATAATATCTAATAGAAAAATTGAAAGAAGACTCACAAAAATAAATAATTAAAAATTCTTTAAAATGTAATTTTGTTGTCATTATATTAGAATATTTTTTTCGACTCTCATCATATTATAAACGTTTATATAAGGTGTATTTAAGTATTTAAAAAATGTCTTGGTACATCATATTACAAACTTGAGACATAAAAATTCCTTCTGCGATAAATGGGAAATTAATAGATAATTTTGATATTTTTTAAGAAAATAAAAAATGAATTTAAAAAATCTATGATAATAAAAAAATATTTATAATAACACACATTTTGTTGCAATAATTTATTAATTTATAAAAAATAAAGTAAATAAATAGTAATGATGGAAAACAATGAGTTAACAGTTGTATAAATAAACAAATTACTAATAATAATAAAAATAAAAAATAAAATAATAATAATAAAAAACTACATCTAATTATAATAATAATAATAATAATAATAATAATAATAACTGTAATGACAATAACATTTTGATTTAATTCACAGTAGTGTAATAATAATTAGTGCGTAATTTAATAATATGACATTGAATTTTCCCATTAATAGTTTTATTTTTAACATTATTAATTATATGTTCAGAGAAATGTAATTCAACCACGCATATTTTTTTATTTCTATTATAGAAAAAAACATGACCAAGAACTTATTGTAATCGCTTTTTTCCTTGAATTTTAGCATTTCTGTATAAAATTAAGAAAAAAAAATTGTCTTTTAATTTCTGATTCTACTTCATTATATTTTATACATTAATTGATAAAGAACATATATACAAGTATAAGTTATAGATTAAAAAATTATTAAATTTATTATTAAAAAAAAAAAATTTTTTTTACAGGAGACGCTTGAGGATTTGTCTCTTTATTTCTACATTGCATGTGGAATTGCAGCCATTGGATTTTTAATACTTTTCATTTTAATTACAATTCTTTTTGTTAAAGTAAAACGACTCACTGTTGATGAGTAAGTCAAATACTAATAATAGTTTTTTATAAATATTTACTTGGTTCAAACAATTTTTATTTAAATCAAATGAATTGTATTTGAATCAAAAATTTCAGTATTCGAAGAAAATTTAATAACTTTTTTTATTTTTTTGTTACTGTTATTATTATTATGAAGTAGTATTATTATTTTAATTATTATTATTATTATTTTAATTACTAATAGAATAGAATTTATTTCTTAGTGCTGCAAAATTTTTTTTACATCTCTTATTTTAGTTATTAATTAACTAATTAATAATAAAATGAAATTAATTAATTTAATTTGGTTTAAATAAATATTATTTGATTTAAGTAAATATTTATTATTGATAATAGACAAGTAATTGATTACTTGAATAAAATACATTTTTTTCAATGTATTATTTTTAATTTATTTATTATTAAATTATAATATATATCTAATATTTTATAATATAATATAATACACCCAAAATAAAATTTATATATGACTCAGAGCCAACTAAACTTTTTATAATAATTATTGTTTCAAGTATAAATTTTATTTGTTTCACATAAGAGTTTGGTTTGTGTCAAATAAAATATTTTTCTGGGTGTATAATAATAATATAATAAAATATTTATTTATTTAGTTATGTTATGAATATTAATTAATGTTAATTAGTTTTTTATTAATTTTTTTATTTATATCGTTTATTTAGGATTTATATTTATTTATTTTTTAGTTTTTACTTATTCAGTATTATATTAATTTAATTTAATTTATTTTTTGAAATTAAAATAAAATTTAAATTTGTAATTAAATATGTTTTGCATTGTTAAAAGCAGAAAATCGAGTTTTATTTTACATAAAATGTAAAATTGACTATAATTATAGTAACAATGTATTAATATGTATATATATATTTTTTTTTTTTTGATATGCAAGAAAATTGTAGCTTCCACTTGTTAAATTCGTATAATATGAGTCGAATAATTCTTTATAAGCTGACGACATCATTGATAACGTATCTTTATTGCAAAGGTAAAATTGAGAGTAAATTCATATCTTTAAAACTGTATCCATGTTTATTGACTTAATCATAAATGAAACTTTTGTGTTAGAAGAAATTATTGAAGGACGCAAATTTCACTTGAACTCTTTTTTTCCCCGCGCCTTTGACCCACTATAATTAGACCTAAAAATTTTCCCCACAAACAATATTATTTTAACCAAAAAAAATCTATTTCCCTTTATTTATAAATTAAAAATGTAAATAAAAAATGTCGTTAATTTGTTAAATTAATTTTGCTAAATAATTAATATTATATTATATATTCAGAAAAAAATATATTTGACTCAGAGCCGCAACTATAGACTTTCTATTTGCTTCAAAAAAAATTTATTTGGTTCAAGTAAATTTTATTTGTTTCAAAAAAATTTCATTTGGTTCAAGTAAATTTTATTTGTTTCAAAAAAATTTCATTTGGTTCCAGTATAAATGTTATTTGTTTCAAATAAATTTGTTGTATGGTTTATTTAAAAAAAGTAAATAATCTCGTTGGCTATGAGACAAATATAATTTTATTTAACTTAAATAAATTATATTTTGTTTAAATAAATTTTTTTCTCTGGGTGTACAAAAATTATTAGTTCAAATAAATTTTACTTTTGATTTAAATTTATTAATTTTTTTATAAATAAATAAAAATTATCAAGTCAATATTTATTTGTCGATAGACAAGTAATCAGTTATTAAAATCAAATAATTTTTTTTTCAGTTTATTGGGGGAGGGGGAGATTTTTTTTGTAAGGTAACGAGAGGACATTATTTTATTTACAAGCCCATTAAAAATAAATATAAATAAGCAAATAATAATAAATCTTAATAAATAATTTTTTTTTCTGTTTCAGATCAAATCAATTGAACAGGCAAGTAAATATGATGTCTGATTTTTGTTACACAAATCCGACAATTGTCCCGGGTGAAGAATTGTCGCGAAGGGGATTTTCAATGTACAGTGGCGCTGATCATTTTGGCGAAGATTTTTCATCGAAAAATAAATACACCAGCGGTATGTATATGCAGGAAAATAGATCAAAATTTTGATAATATCAAAAATTTAAATTACAATCATTAGGAATTATTTTTTTTATTAAGAAATCAGAAATAGAAGAAAATACAAGAAAAATAGGGAACGATAATTATGAATACAAAATTAATAATTATAAAAAGTAAAAAAAACAATAAAATGTTTTATATTTAAAAAATAATTACAAATAAAATTTCAAAAATAAATTATAGTAATTTAAAAAAAAATTGCGCAATTATTTGTTTGTATTCATAATATGAGATTATCGAGCGATGGTTTTACAGAGAAAAATAGTTCTCCTATCCATTGAAAGATGTCACTACTATTTAGAAATTCAGAAAATTCAAAAGTACCTTGCCAATTTATTGTAATATTTTTAGAGGAAATTTTCAAATTTTCAATAGTATATTAAGCAACAAGAGGAGAAAGGCAGCCATTTCTTTACGGTGATTTTTGTGACACGAGTGGAGGTCGAGGGCGCCGTAGGCGCCCCGAGACCGGAACGAGTGTCACAAAAATCATCGTAAAGAAATTGGCTGCCTTTATTCTCGTGTTACTTACGATATTTTTTATTCCTAATGCACAAAAGCGGCGATTTCAGATAGCAGACGACAGGGAGTAAAAGTCATTCACTTGTTCGATTTGTATGAAAATGGCGGCCGATTTCTCCCTTGGGCAAGAAAAATGCATGTGAACAGCTAATTTTCTTGCCCTTGGGAGAACACGGCCGCCATTTTCATACGGTCGAAGAAATGAATGACTTTCCTCCCTGTCGGCTGCTATCAGAAAGCGCCGTTTTTGTGCATGTGGGATAAAAAATATATTTTTATTTTATTTCATTTTATCAATTATTTTTTTATAATTTAAATCTTTGTAATTAATTTTGAACTTGAAAACTTCTTTAAAAAATAAACAAAAAAGTTTATAACTTTTCTGTTTATTCCATTTTTTATTTTTTTGATAAAAAATAATTTTTTTTCTGATATATTTTTTTAATTTATAAAATTACCAATTTTATAATGTAAAGATTTTTTTATTTAAATCTGATTTGAACAAAAAAATATTTAAATCAATTAATTTTGAAATTCAATTTATACTTAAAATGAAAATCAAGAAGATTAAAGTACTTAACAAATTGATTAATTAACAAATAAATTAAATTAATTTGAAGATTTACAATTTTTATATATATTTAAATTATTCGTTTAAACTTGCAAATTTGAAAGTTTTATACTCTACATATATATTGTAGAAAAGCAATATTCTGTAAAAAAAATAAAAGACTTGTAATATACAATAATGTATATATAATTAATTTTAAGTGCGTAAAATTGATAATTATTCACGGGCAATGTGATTATCATAATTTAGATAATAAGTAATCGTTGAAAAAATTGTACATATTTTTCAGAAGTTAAATATTTCTCCAATATACACTGAAAAAAAATTTGATTGACTCAAATAACAAATTATTTGTCTTAGTATCAAATAAATATTTACTTGAATCAACTAATTTTTATTTAAATCAAGTAAATATAGTATGTTTTTCAACTACTGTAATTATTGGTTTCATAATATATAATTTAATTGAGTAAATATAATTAAATTAAATTAAATTAAATTAAATTAAACTAAATAATTACTTTGATTCAGAAAAATATTTACCAGATATTAGATAATATTTGGTTTAAATGACATTTTTATTTACTATACAAATATAGAAATAGTTTAATAAAATAAATTAGGTTCAAAAATAAAAATTTTATTTACGCTGAACAAAATATTTATTTAAAAGCAATAAATAATTTAGACTGTGACAAGTACACTTTTATTTGACTCAAATAAATTTTATAATATATTTGCTTTAAATAAAACAATAATTCTTTTTGTGTTTTTTTACTTCTTTCGTATATTTTTATTTCAATTATTTAATATTTTCCTTTAATACATTTTATATTCTTTGAAGAAAATTTTACTTTTTTCAAAATAAATTGAAATAAAATGTAGTAAATTTTGTACTTTATAAATTTTATTCACTCACAGAAAACTTTTATTTAAAACAAATATAATTTATTTGACAGAAATAAAAGTTATAGTTTCTCTCAGAGCCAAATAGATAATTTATTTGTTTTAAGTAAAAATTTTTATTAATTTAATTTATTAATTTTTATTTATTAAATTTTTTATTTGAATCAAATAAAATTTTATTTAAACCAAATAAAATTTATTTGTATTAAAAAAAATAAAAAGTCTAATAGTTGGCTCTGAGTCAAATATATTTTTTTTCTACGTGTATAATAAAAATTAGTAAAAATTCATTTTCTTCATGTAGTATATAAATTAGAGTAAAAATTAGTAAATTTTACTTTCCTTGAAGAATGTCAATTTTTTAAAAAATTTTACTGTAATCTATAGATTACAGAAAAAAAATTTTAAAAATTGACATTCGCTTATAAAGTAATTTGACGTAAAAATTAGTAAATTTTATTTTCCTTGAAGTAAATTTGTAGTAACAAAATAAGTAAAATTTACCTCGAATTTATTAATTTTTGGCAACTTAATATAGTATAAGTTATACTTAACAATTTTTACCATTTCTAATATAAATTCATTGGTATAAAGTCCACTTGAACCAAAGATATACATTATAAATAATTGAAATAATTTTATTATATTTTCATAAAAATATAAAAAATTTATATAATAAATATATATATGTATGAAGGACAATTTACGAATTGATGTTCGTAAATTCTCAATAAATAAAATAAAGAAGAAAAAAACAGAATCGACTCCAAAAAAATTTTATTTTATATTTTAAAAAATGTGACGAATGGAGGTTGTGGGAGAGGGAAAAATTATAATCGAGAAATAGCGTGTGACGTAGTTTGTAAAGTTTAGTTTGACCCCTAATTGCGAACACTATACTATATCATAAAATAGATAATCATTAAAATAAAAATTGTCTGAGTGTCTCTATAATTATATAGATATTAATGTAAATAGAGCAGGAGTTAAAAAAAAATCTTTCCCAATTTATTGAGGAAGTTTAACTTTCGAAGAGTAATGTAATTTGTCCTGTGTGCGGAGGAAAATACATTAGATTATCTAAACGGTATGTCAGTGATTGTTGGTGATAGAGAAGCAGAGAGAGAAAGAGTAGAAGGATGATGGTATATATAGGTGTAATAGAAGAGGATAGGCTCGTAATTGGTATAAAATCATCGGGCACAAATACATTGGACAAGACAGACTAGGGGTTGTGGGCGGTGTTACGTGCCGTAACCCTGGTAACGTTGAATCCTACTAAAGCACCCCTTGCGCCTTGATTGTGCACACACATTCAACCCCCTTCCTCTACACTCAACCAAATTCACCACATGAACACGCCCCCTTTTTATATACATATATATATATGTATTGTACATGGACAATTTATATATATTTATATAAATTGCGCACGCACATGTATAGGTATATGTGTATATGTGCACACTTACACATATGCCCAAGCACATGTGTATTGGTATTATTTTATAAATATATACATATGTATTCAATAGAAATATATTTTTTATTCTACACTTGTGTGGGTGTATAATCAGCCTTGTACACATGGTGGACATTCCGCATTTTATCGCACAAAATTGAAATTATCACTTATAGATACATGTGAAAAACGTAAAAGGCGAAATTTTTCTAAATCGTAAAACTCGATCAATAATTTTAAATTCCCCCTCCCGTTTGGCTTTTCAGATTTATTTTTTACAAAATATAGGTTGAATATGTATATATTGTATATGCGCAGCGTTTTGAACGTCTGACCAATATTTACATTCACTACTGTGCTGCGCGGGACCAAATTTGGAGAAATTCATCATTCTCGTTCTATATTTGATTATGAATAATAAACTTTTTGTTATATATATATAATATTAGCTTGAAACGAAATAAAAAGAAATCAAATTAAAGATATAAAAATAATAGAAATGAAGGTTAAAAATTTTTATATACCTACCTATACTTTTTTTGCTTCTTGATTTTATAGTTTTGTCAATTTAAAACTATTTGTCTGATGACTAAAAATTTATGTTCTCTATACTTATTTTATTCATTTTTTTTTATTTACTTAATTTTTTCTACTTATTTATTTAATAAGATAGTGTAAAATATTAAAAAATAACTAAATAGAGTTATTTAAAAATAACTATTAAAAATAACTAAATAGAGTTATTTAAAAATAACTATTAAAAATAACTAAATAGAGTTATTTAAAAATAACTATTAAAAATAACTAAATAGAGTTATTTAAAAATAACTATTAAAAATAACTAAATTTTAATTAAATAAGTATAATGAGTAAATTAAAACAGAGATGTCTGACTTAAATTAGTATTTACTACTGAAATTGAAAGCACGCAAAAATGAATAAAGCTTTTAGTTTATAAATAAAGGGGACGATGAAGTTTCCAAATAGTACAATAGGATTAAACATAAAATTAAATTAAGAGTAAATTATGTCTGACTATAATTTACTTTTACTACTGAATTAAAACGTATACATGTAAAAGTAAAAAAGAATAGGAAAAAGTCTAAAATAAATTGTTATTTTCAACTTATAAACATTCAAGAATGTGAATATCTGTTGTCTGACTAAAAACTCCTTTTACTACTGATATGAAAAACCGAACAGAATAATCAAGTGTCTGACTAAAATTGTCATTTTCTACTTATAAACATATCATCAATCAAGAATTTAAACAGTTTTATAGTTTAACAGCGCGCGTTGTCTGACTAAAAGAATAAAGTCGAAAATTATTATTTTCTACTTGTAAACATTAAAAGAATGTCAATACTGTTGTCTGACTAAAAACTCCTTTTACTACTGATATGAAAAACCGAAAAAGTAGTCAAATATACCTGACTGAAATTACCATTTCCTCTACTTATAAGAATTTAAATTCTTTATTGCAATAAAGAAATTTAAATATTATTGTTTGACTAAAAATTTCTTTTACTACTGTCATGAAGAAAACGAAAAGAATAATCAAGTGTCTAACTAAAATTGTCATTTTTTACTTATAAACAATCAAAAATTAAATCAGTTTTATTTTAACAGCGTTGTCTGACTAAAATATTCTTTTACTATACTGCTATATAAAAAGTCGAAAAGAATAGGAAAAAGTCTGACGAAAATTATTATTTTCTACTTAAAAAAATACAAGAATGTTAATATACTATATTGTATGACTAAAAACTCCTTTTACTACTGATATGAAAAACCAAAAAAGTAGTAAAGTACCTGACTGAAATTATCATTTCCTCTACTTATAAGAATTTAAATTCTTTATTGCAATAAAGAATTTAAATAGTATTGTCTTACTAAAAATTTCTTTTACTACTGACATGAAAAGTCAAAAAGAATAATCGTGTTTGACTCAAATTATCATTTTCTAC